TAATAAATGTGGCATATGGGAACATCAACAATCCCTGTTGTAGTTGGAGCCCTAGGACTGGTTGGAAAAGATTGCAGCAGACTAATTGAAGGGATTCCTGGAAATCCATGCCTCAAAGAGATACAAAAAATTGTTCTCACAAGTACAGACCACACTTTACGAAGGGCTTTATCTATGTAATTTTTTTTTTTTTTTTTTTTCAGTGGAAAGTGTCATGATGCCATTTCTAACCTTAGGTCCCTGGGCGGGACCCGGAAAGAAATGTGTAAACGCCAGAAATCAAAGAAAATAATAATAATAATAATAATAATAATAATAATAATAATAATAATAATAATAATATGGTAACTTCAAACAACGATTATCCCAGTTGTGATAGGAGCATTGGGTACGATAAAGAAGGGTAGCGAAAATCAGTGAGTAAAATTCCTGGGTACATCAGCATCTCAGAGCTACAAAAAAAAAAGATTATTTTCTGCGGGACTGCACATATCATCCACAAAACCTCCTCCATCTAAACGAAACGTCCCAAAACTGCATAATTAACTCACCTACACTGCCGATTTTACTCATAGACCCTGCAGGGGACTTGGTAATTAGGCACTTAAAATTACTCCCTGAAAAAATGATATCACACACAACATCAACAACAACAAAAACAACAACAACAATAATAATAATAATAATAATAATAAGAGTTCATCTAAGAAATTCAGACAGATTACGACGAATATATTTCATGCTGTGTCAAAAAAATTAAACAATATTCCTTATAAAACTGATTAATAAAATGCTTTTTTTTCTCTCGACCACTACAATCTTAACCTGTTCAAGTCTAGTGTGTTGTCTATCCCACATTTCCTGATAAACAGCGTCTCATGCAGCTTCTTACTCTTTACCGCTTACTACAAAACAGCTTTCTTCAGTAACCCTCTACATTGAGTGTTTCTTGGGCCTTATAAAAAACAATCCTTAAAATACAAAACTTTTCTCATTAGAAATTACTGTACATATTAAATTCGAACATATGCATAATAGCGGATTCAGAGGAGATATTTGCAATTTACATATTTCTCGATGCCTGTAGCGGTTAGCCATGATTTAAATATATATATATATATATATATATATATATATATATATATATATATATATATATATATATATATATATATATATATATATAGAGAGAGAGAGAGAGAGAGAAGCCTTTGAAATCTAACTCAATATAGTCTTCCTACTCTTACTTATTATCTCTCTACTTGTAATGGGCTTTGTTGGGCTGCTTTACGTTTAGTTTATTTCTTATCATTAGATTGTAGATCACCGTCAAGCCAAAAGCCGGTCGGTGGGCGTGTCTCCTTCTCCTTTCAATATATAAGCTCCTCCTACTTCGTTGTTGATTTGTAAGCACCTGCCATCAGCAAGCACTCGAACTCGACGAGTGTATTCTTGTCTTTCTAATTACGGATTATCAATTCATTTTGGCAGTGTGAACACGGAGTTTCCACTTCTTCATGTTAAATGCTTTACAACGCGAGGCCCGCAACTCAATAACGAAACAGGACTAAACTTTAAAAAAAAAAAGATGAAAAGAAAAGAGGAAAAGCACTTTAACATTACACACTCAAAAAGTCCTTAAAACACCAATTCTTACAAATCCAGTTACGCAATTACGTACGGGGAATTCCCACAAAACTACTTCTGCACTTATTATAAGCCTCAAGATAATGTAGGTGCCCCAGTAAACGTGTTGCTAATATTTTAATTCAAGGTAAGTGCATTTCTAAACAAGATATTCTGACACGTGTGTAACATAATCAGTGACAATATACCTTGAAACAGATTGTTAATTTGAACAAACCAAAATTCGTAGAAAGAAAACGATATTATACTCTGACACAAATCGACTTCTAAATAACATATGAATGTCAGCGTCTATTATCCCCTGAATTATTCGGACAAAATATCCTCACCGTTATTATTCACGTTTCAACTGGTGAGCTCTCTGTCCTTCTTCAGTATCATATATGTAACGAAGACTGTTCATCCGTCAGAAAACTGGTGAGATATTTAACTAAAAAAATCTTGGACAAAATTTATTTCACATGGAAATGGCGACATAAGTCGAGGTGATATTTTTTTAAAAACACTTGCAAACTATTTTAATACGTTAAATATTTATAAAACGTTATTTATATGTAAAAAAAATATGAAGTTTATGTTTTTATTTTAATATTAAAAGTGATTTAATAGTCTTAAATCTAAAACTCTCTTTTAATATTTCTATTCATGTATATCATTACAAAAATGATTTTACTTCGATATATATAATATCTTTATCTACAATATACATTTCAAAACTGACGATCCGAACGATTATAGACATTTCGAAAATTGTCAACGTCACACTGCTAAACACGTCAGCGTAGTTTAGGAAACGCTAAAAGGATTTCAATCGGAACTTCTTTCATATTTTTTTTATTGGAGAAAACACAGGAATATTTCTGACCACTTGATCCGTGGATTATTGCTTGACCACACCACGTCATATCATTTATTCGAATGGACACGTGATTTCAGTTCTTATGACATTGATGCTGACCTGTGGACAACTACTTAAAAAAAAGTTCATTTTCATTAAAAGGAATTAGGTGCGTACGCACACATTGATATACACTCTTACACAGATCTGTATATATAAATATATACCTACTAAATATATATTCCAAAATAAAATAAAAATATCAGATAAATATAAAATAAAACGTAATTATATATAATAAATCAATAAGTATATAAATATATAGTAAGCAAATTAAAATAAAAAAAAAGGTAAAAAATTATCTCTCCACTTCAAGTTTAGCAGAAATTAATCCGCTCATCAGGGGTTTAGATAGTTTAATCGGATTTATTAACATTTATCATATATTATTTATAAGACACTATATTAACAAAAATAATTTTTGACTTATTTTAAATTTTGTCTTTCTTAACGACGTTATTGTTTCACGTAATCTAACCTGAAATTTCGCCATTATGTAAATAAATATGCAGAAATATAAAATCTGTATATCTTATTTTAATAACAGCAAATTAGATTCTTTGAACATAAATATAATTACGAATATTTAAAGGAGATAAGATATATTATCGAAGTTGTTATATATTTTTAAATGATTATATTAACATAATTCATTCTTCATTAGAATTAATAAAACTAAAACAATAAGCATTTTATTTATATTAAATTTTGTATAGTTTTTAAAGACATTGATCTTGAATATAATTTGGTAAAAATCGATCCCTTCTATTCAAGAAAGTATTTAAACATAGCAGAAAAATAGAAATAATAATTGTTTCAAATGTATATAATTATTTCATCGAAAAGTTATTAAACTTAGCTATCAAATTATTTCGTCGGAAGATTATTCAAATTAGCTATCGAAATATTTTATCGGTAGGTTATTAAAATTAGCTAGAAATTATTTCATCAAAATTTTATTAAAATTACCTATAAATTATTTAATCGAAAGTTTATTAAAATTAGCTAAAAACTTATTTCATCGAAAGGTTATTAGTTGCTAAAAATTAATCCATCAAAAAGTTTTAAAATCTTTTATTAGATTATATAAATTTATTTACAAAGTATCAAAAAACTGCTTTTAAAACATTAAAAATCCCACCAATTTATTTATTTTTAATTATTAAAAATATAAACAATATGTTATTTTAATTAATGTTCTTTATTAAATATTATAGATTTTAATTGAATTAAGAATCCCAAAATTTCTTTAAAAGCAATTTTTAATTAAAATATTTATAAACATGCGCATATCTTCGGTATTTGGTTTAAGAAAGTAATTTTTGATAATCAGGATGCGAAAATATTATAAATGTTCTTGCTAGAATTAAAAATGTATCCAAATATTTAAAAATATTTTTCTAAATATATCTAGCGTAGAAGTCCTCATTGACAAAGACCAAATTAATTTTTTTTAAAGTTTAAAATACTGTGGGGAAAAGTAAATATCTTTAATGTCTTATATTTCAAGTTTTACGATGTTTCAAGTTTCACAATGTTTCAAGTTTCACGATGTTTCAAGTTTTAATAATTGTTCGGGTTCGTCTGAAGAATTTCTGATGGAAATGTATTAATAAATTAATTAAAGTTTTTGCATCTGGAAAGAAAATTGTAATTGTTATGTATTTATATTATAAAATCTCGCATTAACTGTCTATGTTTTTTTTACAACGTTGATTTTGTGATAAATTAAGGGAGAAATAATAAACACATGTATAATAATAATAATAATAATAATAATAATAATAATAATAATAATAAAAAAATAAAATAATACCTGAAAGTGAACAAGAAAAAAAACAAGAAACTAAGTTATTGTCAAACAGTTCAATTGATGACCACATGTTTTCTTGTTTTAAATTTTTGACGAAAAAATATTTCCTTTTTCAACAAGAATTTTAAACAATAATCATAATTCTGTGATTTATGGGAAAATGTAATAAATCTAATATGCAATATATATTTACAAACATTGGGAAATTAATTACATTAAATTTTAATTTACATTAAATTAAGTGCATTAAAAATTTGTATTTTTATTTTACACAAATTTCAAACTGGCATAAAATATCCTGAAAACTGAGCGATCAATCACTATTTATTATTTTATACCAAATTCAATCTAAACAACGGAAACATATTCACCAGGTAAAACAAAAATATTAATCTAGGAAAACAAAAAATATTAATTAGGTAAGACAAAACATGAAAAAAACCCTGGCAGGTTACGGAACAATCAACTGATCAAAATTCAATCGAAAAAAAGCCCAGACTTACTGCTCAGCAGATTACAAAACAATTAACTAATCAAAATACAGTGATAAATAATAATAATAATAATAATAATAATAATAATAATAATAATAATAAACTTTACATTCACCAGCTACACCTATAATATCACCAATTAGACAAAATGATGGACTATGAAGCTACTTATCCCACTAGCATGTACCCCGAAAGTGGTGGTGCTACTGGAACATACGAAGCAATGCAGTCAAGAGCCTTGGATTCTGATCTTTTCTACGGGCAGAGAGATTCTTCAGTTGTGAATGGTGGAGTTTCTGTAACTTCAGCAACTATAGCTACATCGTCACCGTCTACATACGCTTACAATGGGGCTACTGCGGCCACCCAGACCACAACGACCATACACTGGGGTATACACGATGCTTCTATCCAGCCAGACTACCCGTGTGGGGTTTACTATTCTACGGGCGTTGCTACCACTGACCTGCGGGATATTCAGCACACAGACTCCATCCAACAACAACCTCCGCCACAACATCACCAGCAGCAACAACACACGTCTCAACCCCAAGAACCTCAAATCCACCCGGCTCAGTTGACCACCCTTCCAGAGATTCACTCGCATAACCACCACCATCATCACCATCACCATGCTTACTCTTATAACATCCACCCACATGGACAACCGACACAAAATCCACACCCGCATTCAACTCCCAATTCAACATTGACCCCAACAAGGGTTAACCCTTCAACAAACTACACCGGCTCCGATATCTACGGAGAATCGATCAAATACCATAATATGGCACACTACCACCGCCCGGCCAGGACGCGTTCTCGCCAAAGTAATGGTCACACGGATTCTAGCCGGGAGGGTGCCACCGAGAGGGAACGAACCCGGATGCATATGCTGAATGATGCCTTTGACGATCTTCGGAGGGTGGTACCGAAGTCGAACTTAAGCGAACATCAGAAACTCTCCAAGATTGCTACTCTCCGATTGGCCATCCATTACATCTCGGCTCTTGCAAGCATCCTGAAAAGCACAGGAGCCGAGATTAAACTAATTAAGGATACCACAGCTATTGATGGAAGAGGCCGACGACGCACTGGACGCAAACGGAAAATTACCTACGATGGTATCGTGAAAGGTTAATACTCATATAAAAGCTTAAAAAGAAGAGTTGGCGACATCAGTCTACGAGGTGGTATCGGAAATTTCTTGGACTAGTCTTTTAATAAAATCCACCATTTATCCAATATTCCATGGAGAGAGAGAGAGAGTGCCGGCGGATTATTCGACGACGATTCTCACAGCTGAGTTGCAGAATTGTTTCCATGTTTTCTGGTAATCTACTGGTGGTTGGTCGTTCTGGATGCTCATCGTTTTAAACTAATACTCGACCGACCTTGAAACGCGTGTTTCACTGATCGATATAAAGAATTTTCACCCCAAAATCTGAGGAAATGTTTCGAGGGTCACGGTAACGAATTTGTTGAATGTCACCCAAGCAACTGTGATAAAGTCACGCTGCTCGAGTTTGCCAACCGTCGTAAAGATTGCAGAGCCGTTCCAACAAAACTACGCGTGATAAATTAACAATAATAGCTAGCACGAAGCCTATTGGCAGACTGACTCAGTACGCTGGGTAGCCATGAGCATTAATTTAATTCCGCGTAGATCTCAGTTGAACGGTGCATTTGCAGTATATGCAGTCCCGGAATTTTCTTATACCACCTCATATTAAGTTGTACTACATGAACTGTCGAACACATGAAGTTTAATAATTTTCTGCCAACAAAATGGATTGATATAAAATGTTATATTGTATTATTTGCTGTTGTATAGCTCGCTAATTTACTATTGAACTTGATTTTTTTGAGGGTCTGTTCATAAAAAAGAACTTTTTTTTTTTAAATCTAAAAATATTTTGATAACTGAGTAAGCAAACCTACTCTTTATTTATGCGTATAAATTGAGATAAAATACGAATTTAACGGGATATTCGAAGAAACTAACATTAAATGAATCATACAGCGGTAATATAAAACTTTTGCCCCGAATATGTGAACATTAAAAAAAAAAAAACTAACATTAAATGAATCATACAGCGGTAATATAAAACTTTTGCCCCGAATATGTGAACATTAAAAAAAAAAAAACTTAAAAAAAAAACACAAATAAACGGCCAACTGAGAAACATTGTGGAAACTTTAAACTACAATTCAGGAAATCCTGGAGTTTTTTTACGGTGATGATCTCATCATTTGGCTACAAAAAGGAAGGCACAAAATGAACAAATCAGTTCCACAAGAATTGACAGAAAATCAGAAACGGCGTTGTTTTGAGCTTTTCTCAACGCAGCTTGCAGCATTAACAAACCATTTCTAAGACGTGCAGCTACTTGCAATGAAAAGCTTTGAAAAATTCTTTGCAATAATCATATACGTATATTTTCATTTAAACTGTTCAAAATTTGAGTCTTTTTACTTTTTCTGGTCAGAATCAGACAATTCATGTGGTACTATCTAAAAAAAAAACTTCTTTAAAAAAAAAGGGGGGGCAAATTTTATTAATCCTCAAAACTAAAATCACGTCAAATGAGAACCTCTCCAGTTTTTCCATCTTAGAATTTGCAACAAGTGAGAATGAACGAACTTCCCCTAAACCTCTCCGCTCATTTTAAACGTGTTTATAAATTGCAAAAACATCGACCAAATTGTAAGAAAACTGAGGAACATGAAATGCTAACAAATCTAAAGTGATTCGCTGGCACTAAATGCGCTCATCAGATGCATTTAAAATCAGCCTCGACACTCAAGGCTAAATGCACTGGACGTGTGTCTGCAAGATGAAAAGTTTGAACTTTTAAAACTGAGAAGGATTATCACTTTCTCTTATCTTTGGTATTATGCAAATGAACAATTCATATCAAACTGTGAAAATCAAAGGTAAAGGTACATACGTATATATATATATATATATATATATATATATATATATATATATATATATATATATATATATATGAATATTATTTTATTGTTATTTTCCATACAAAAATGAAAATTTTGTAATAGAAAAATTCGTAAAAAGAAATTATTACATATGTTTATTCTGTAAAAAAATGTCTGGTTTTCTCCTTTTTAATTTTTCTTTTTTTTGTGGGCGGGGAGGGTACCGGTATCTTTTCAAATATCGTTATTTCGTAACATTTCTTGTTTTCACAAAATATCTTCAAAATGGGTGTTTATCATATGTGGTGGTTAACAATATATTTTTCGGTAGACCATTATGTTCCATTCTCATAAATTGCTGTACTACTAAAGTCTTGTGGAGGGCGCACGTTGGAGTAATGAATAGTGGCTCGGATTACGGAATCGGAGAGCCGAGTTCGAATTCCAGTCGAATCCATTACATGGATTACGTGAATGGGAAAGGTATTTACGTCGGGAAAAGGTATGAATCCTCTTCCTCCCCCAGTTATGGGTAAATAGCAGGGCAGACAAGTCTACCGCAGAAAGAAATGGCAAAAAAAAATCTTCGGGAAAAATCAACCTTGTCATGAATCACGCATGGCACATCATTGATAAATATACCAAATAACCGGGCATCTTGTTGAACGCTGTCGTTAAAAAAACGCTTCGCAGTCGAATAACTTATTGTAATATATTTACATTTTGTGAATAAGGGTTAACACACACACATTCTATATAATATATTTACATTTTGGGAAGATTAAAACCTGGTGATCTAACCTCCTCTAAGTTTATTTCATGCTTTACCAAACAGCACTAAACATTTTATAGAACATCTCAGCATTTTATATAATGGGTCCATGGCCATTAGCAAAAGGGTGAGCCAAAACTGCAAATTACTAAAATCAAACAGGTACAGAAATTTGAAAATTTTGGGGAGCATTTTAACAGAGGACCCACATATTCATATTTCTGTATCTGCTTGATTTCAGTAATTTACCTTTTTTTTTTTTTTGTTAACGCACTGGAAACTAAAAAAATAAACGAAACAAACAAATTCTAATGTTCCGATGAACATTGAATCATTTTTGCCTTTAATTATTGTCGCAGTCTCAACTCGAAAGACATTTTGAATTGCATGGGGTACTTTGCATAAGGTACTTTGATGCTTTTTCTTACAAATGCATTTAAACAAGGAGCAAGGTACCTTAGTTGCTGTATTTTGCTAATTTGACATATTGCCTAAAACAACTTCGCTAAATGAGCAAATATACTAGAATGTGTACAGATGTATTTATTCATGTATTATCTTAAAGTTTTAAGCATTGTACAGAAAAAAATCCAAGATATGCAGTAAATCAACTCATTTTCATTCCCTTCATATTCCATTAGTAAGGAGGAAGTTCCTCTCAGACAGATTCTTCACCAAAACTACATTATGAAACGAACTCCGGAGAGGATGCTTCCCCAGTCACTACAACCTTAATCGCTTAAAGTATACGGTCATTCGTTATCCATCCTACCTATCCTCATAATACACAAACATTGCTCCATCCCGATACGTCCTTACAACAAATTCATTTGATAACACTCTACCTTGAGCCACACTTGAGCCTTATATTTGGTGAGAATTTCAACAAAAAAAGAAAATTATAAGGTAGACTGGGTTGGCTAGTCTAGAAGAATTTCTACTTTTCCTGTCTATGAAGGAAGGACGACTCTGAATTCAAAATTGCAAAGACAACTGAAAATCACTTCGCTATCTTTCCCAAGAAGTGATGGCATTTCATTGATAACGAACAAAAGGAATCTGTCGAGAGCCATTATTGAATACGTCTTGAAGGAACATAGAAAATAAATTGGAGTGGCAAGGCAAATTGACACGATATTGTTTCACACTGTTCCGCTAACGTGTGTGTGCACACCGACACACACACGCACGCACTCACAAATGCACGTGTGTGTATTAGAGAGAGAGAGAGAGAGAGAGAGAGAACAAAATCTCATTCAGGGTTTGCTTTATGACAGAGATAGTTGCGTATTTTACCCAGACTACCAATGATTGTTGCATGCAAATAGAAAAAATTGAGATAATAATAATAATAATAATAATAATAATAATAATAATAAACTTTACATTCACCAGCTACACCTATAATATCACCAATTAGACAAAATGATGGACTATGAAGCTACTTATCCCACTAGTATTTACCCTGAAAGTGGTGGTGCTACTAGAACCAAGGAAGCGATGCAGTCAAGAGCCTTGGATTCTGATCTTTCCTACGGACAGAGATTCTTCAGTTGTGAATGGTGGAGTTTCTGTAACTTCAGCAACTATAGCTACATCGTCACCGTCTACATACGCTTACAATGGGGCTACTGCGGCCACCCAGACCATAACGACCATACACTGGGGTATACACGATGCTTCTATCCAGCCAGACTATCCATGTAATATTATTAATAAAATAAAGATTTCAAATATTGGTTTACAAAGAAGACAGTCTATTTACACTTGAATAATTAGTACTACATAATATACGAAGTACTAACTCAAATGTTTATATATTCTAATTTGATCTATAATATTAATTATAACCCAAGGCGAGATAGAGAGGGAAATAATATGACTTGAAAAGACTATTTCAAATGGGGAAATCCTTAAGATTCGCAATTCGGTCTTGTCATTTGGGCACGAACGCTTACAACTAAAACTGATAGGAACTATACAATGACCTCAGACACTTGGTTGACTAATATCTGATATTGACTATGTATTACTGATTGCAGCATAGGATGTGATGGGGTAGAAAAGACCGTGTTTCACCAGTGGGGAGAGCCTATCGAGATTAAATATCAAAATCCGGACTTTTTACAAAAGTAAACACCAAACACTGGGTATAAATGTATCTATTTCAACCACGTATGACGCCTATTTAAATGATTTTTTTTCGATGGTGGTTAGGGGATTATATTTTTTTTTTAATTTGGCGTTTTTCAGTCGCCTATGAGCAATTACAATTCTCTTGTTTCTTTGATTTTCAGGAATAATGAGGAGTCGTTTATGTGGACTTGGACACACATACTTGTGGTTAGCGTTGTTTTAAGTTCTCATCACAATACATACACATACACACAGACGCACAAACACACACACACACACACACACATATA